CTCAGCCCAGCTTCTGGAGGATCCACGTATATATATACATATGTGTGTGTCTGCCCATGTTGATGCGTGTGTTCAGCTCTGTATTTAACGTACATAGGCGTTGGCGTGGGTGCCTGCTGGGAATGCACACTCAGCCCTGCTCCTGGGTGGACCTGGGGGCACGGAGGGGTGGCAGTCTTGCCCCACTGGGCTGCCAAGTTCAGCCTCCTTACCGAACAGCATCACTCCCCCTCGCTTGAGCTGGCAATCCTTTTAACTTTTGGTGAACTGGAGTTTCGCAAGAAACATTTTTTTTTCCCCCACATCTGTGGATGATGCTGTTTTCTGTTTGCACAATGTAATTAACCAGCTCGCTGGTACCCACACACGTGCTAAATTTTGGGTTAGGAGTGCTTGTCAGGATGAGATGCATGTCTATACATTACACATTAGGAAATACCATTCCTAAGGTATTGGCTTCTTTCCCCAGCCCTCACATCCTTGTTTTACTTAGAAAGTTTTTAATGGCAATCCTGATTGAGAAACATAATGATGCCTAAAAATGTGTGTATCACGCTGACGTTATATCACTGGTTCTCCCTGAGCTTGCTCTGTGTCTTCTTGCAACGGCAGCAAGTGAATCATGACTGTGGCATGTGCGTAAAAGCTGAGGACACATTTGGGAGCCTCAGTACCAGAACCTGTGAGGTCTGTCGTGACTGGCAGAGCTGCTCGGTGTCCAACAGGAGATTAAAAATAGACTTGCAGAAGGAGATGCCGCTGGAGCTGGGTTTGTGCCTTTTCCTTCTTTATGTCAGAAAAGCGTAAAGCCTGTGCTCCCCAGAAGAGGCTGTTTGCTCTAGGTCCCTACCTGAAGAGGATGCCCCAGTTCATCACATCTGGCGCCCGCGTCTCAAGAGAGGCAAGCTCTTTACTTCTCCCCCTCTATATATGCCCATAAATCTTTCCCTCCAAAAAGAAGAATTGGCACATATGACAGCAGAGCGAGCAAAGTGCTCCGAGTGCTTTTTCTCGTTAGAAACGTGGGTCTTGGGGGCTAGGAGGACTCTTCTGGCGCCTGCAGAGACAGAACGAGCGTCGCACACTCAGCCGCCTAGAAAGTAGAAACCTGAAGTGCTGACAGAGTGACAGAGAAGGAAGTGCTTTTTGTTTGACTAGCTGACTGATACCTGGTGATGGATTGGTTTAATTCAAGTACAAGCAGAAACACAAACATTTGCCACGCTTGGTCTGACATGGGCCATCTAACGCAGAGTGACTCAGGGCAGATGGAGGTGAGTCCTTCAGTCAGTGGCAGAGGCACCAGCGAGCCGGGAAGAGCCGCAGCACCTGGATGCTTCAGCCAGCGGCTGCAAATGCCCCCTGCGAGGACCGAGGGCAGCAGCTGGGAAAACTGGGAAATTAAGATGCAGCATCTCTCATACATCCGAGAAAATGACAATCCCGAGTTACATTTTTCCATTGCAAAGGCAATAAAGTCTCCGTAGCCTTTGTACGTTGCGGAGACATAACGAAGGCCCCAAACCTGATTTACTTGCCCTTGGATGGGACTTTACAAGCCTTATTGACTCGGTCAGCGATAAGCTGCGGCAGAGAAAGGCTGGAGAAGGGCCCGACTGTTGAGGCTAGCAGGATTTCTGGCTTTGCCGAGCGGTGATCCCCAGCTTGCCCCAGGCCTCTAGGACCTGCTGCGCAACAGCATCAACACGGTGGCAGTGGTGGCCACTCGTGTCTGGGTGGCTTCCTTCTTGGCTCAGCATGTACTCAGCCTACACATATAGCAAAATGCAAAATGAGGAGTTTGTACCATATCCTGCCTTGCACCGTAGTCCATATGGTCATTGGGATTGTCCGTGAACAAAATGCTGGAGGATTTCTACCAAATAGGAGTTGAGCTCACTGCCGAGTCCATAGCTGGAGCCCAGAAAAACGAGAAATTTGTTCTTCCCATTCTAGTTTGTGCTGATTGATTAGTTGTTGGCCATTTCCCCTCCTCCTAACATACCTTTGAAAAGATTTTTAGCATAGACTGTTTCAAAACTGCCATTCCCTTACAACATTGCTGGTAAAGGCCTAGAGATGTTTGTACATGTGCAGGAAGTACAGCTGCTTCACCTTTGTGACATTGGCATTTAAAGTAGAAGACGAGAACATAAACGAGGCTGTAAATGGGCTGGACAAGACTTCATGAATACTTGGGGCTGGGAACTGAAATCGGGCTCCAGCCTCTGTGGGAGGGAAGGGTTGTTAAGCAGGGTGCGTTTTTCAGCAGAATTCCCCTCCTCTGAGTTTACAGGGTTTGGCCCATCTCTGCCAGCGGTACCTGTCAGTGCAAGGCCAGGGTTGCAAGGAAGGCTGCGATGGCTGAACAGCAAAATGTTGCCCTTCTGGTAAATACTTTGTGTGTGGTCACTCCAAATGCAGCTGGGATGATTTCTGAAAGCAGCAGTGGCATTTCCAAACTAAAACCCTATCCAAAGCTCAGTAGCTGGAATTTCGTATTTGTACATACTTTAGACCACGTACACACACATGAAAAGTGGTGTGAGGCTAATGAGCGAGCTGTGCCTGATTAGTGCACAGTTCAAATGCGGTAGACTTGGCCAAGTAAGCTGCCTGAAGATCCTGGCCAACCGTAGGACCTTGGCTTACAAGGCCAGAAGGTGGGTTGCCCTTATGCTGGAGCTACCATAGTATGTTTGCATGGAGTTTCTCCACACTTAAGCCGAGGTGTTTATAGAGAAGAGTCTCACCAAATCATTTACCCTGAAACGCCAGTGAAATACCGCTTCTGTTTACGCATCTGCAGAGTACATCTCCCAGGCCTCAGCCGTAATAAGTCTCTCCTAAGCCTTCCCCTCATTCTTAAACACAACCCTAATTTTTTAAGCTGGTGCATTGTTAACAGTGAGGCTCACAATGTCACAAAGGTTGAAATAAATATATTTGAGCTAATGGTGGGAAGTGTTTGAAAAATCTGTTGTATAAACAAGGTCCAAGAATATTCTATCCTAAGTTAAATAATACCTGATACACATTTACAAGGAACAAAGCCAAACCAAATTAGAGTTGAACTGAACCTTAAAGCATAGTTTAACTTGATTAGATAAGGAACTTTACAGCAAACCTTTGAAATGCCCCTGTTGTCATTGACAATGAGCCACTGAAACTTGGAAGGAGCGTATGGTAGATCGGCCACAGCTCATATCAAAAGAACTTAATCCATACTATGTTTTATCAAAGTTGCATGACTGATAAGTAGCAAAAGTAGATATGATAAATAAGATTGTTAGATTATTCTGCTGAGTCTGGAATATTTAAAATAAGCCCTATCTTTCCAAGGAATTCTATTCAGAGCCAGTTTAAGAAGTTGCTTCAGAGAGCTTAAATACTGATGACTCTGCAAGGGTGTCAGGTATGCACTTAATTGCGCTAGAGCATTGCAGCTTTGGTGTGTCTTCTGAGAAGGAAATCTTGATGACTCAACCCACAACAAGAAAAGTGCTGTCATGGATCTGACCTTGGCTGTGAGACAAAAAAAATGAAGTTAGGAACAAATTGGCAGTAATCCCAATATCTTTGTGGTAGCAATCACACAGCCAGATGCTCCACTCAGTTACTACAGAAGAGAAGCACTAAGCCTCAATTTTGAAGGTTTGTGAGCTGCTGAGGTGAGCCATGCAGAGCGGCAACTTGCCCACAAAAACCTCACACTTCGGGCGCTGCCGCAGGACCGGGGCCAGGGCCAGGGCCGAGCCAAGGCCGGGCTGGCCGGTCACCCACAGTTTAGAGGGCCCGTGGCCGGGCAGCAGTAGGGACAGTAAGGGCTGTCAGTGCCCCCAGGGCCCAGACACAGCCAACGGCTCAATGTCAGGCTGCCAGCCGATAACAAATGGCACACCATCAGTATTCAGTGTCTTCATCAATGACTGGAACGGTGATAGAGCTCTGCACCTTCAGCAAATCTGAGGATGATACTGAGTCATCAGGAGCGGCTGATGAGGCCAATGGTAGAGCTCTGATGGAGGGGGACTTCGAGGATGGGGCCAACAGAGACCCTGTGAGGTTCGGCAAGGAGAAGGACAGTGTCCTGTGCTTGGGGTGCAATACCCTGTGACCAGCACAGGCAGGGTGTTCAACCATGCCAAAAGGGACCTGCGCATTACAGGGGGTGCCAGGCTGAACAAGCTAACAGTGCACTCTCAGGAAAGAGGTAACTGCATGCTGGGCATAGCAGCAGCAGTGGGGCCAGCAGGGGAGCAGACCTTTTGCCTCCCTTCCTTCCGCTCTGACAGGGCTGTATCTGGGGTCTTGTGTCCAATGCTGGACCCCCTCCAGTTCAAGAGAGGTGCTGGGAAACTGGTC